CAATAAGATCTGAATTGGTCTGTCAAAATAAGCAGGTGTGCGATGCATATAGATCAAATGTTTTCTTTTCGTGATACGTCTGGAGATGCGGTTGCATGTGACTTGCACTATGTATGCTGTAGTGTTTATATTCAGCCACGCGATGGCGTAATATGCTCATCAAAGGTTGCTTCGTGCTTCTGAGTTCGGGGCCGTAGAACATTCCGCGCCACATCAATGAGATGTACCTGCAAAGGCATTCCGCTTCTAATCACCAACACGTGGCTATACTGCTGGAGCGTATACGAGCAAGCAGAGTGCCAGAGTCAGTCCAGTGTGTGTAAACAATGCCGTCTGTTCCCTTTTATCTGAGGCCCATGGTAGCGTTAACCTGCTGTTTACGTGTGACATCAAAAGATTTGCATTCAGTATTAAGTTCCCTCGATCATCACAACCATGATATATTTATTGATATATACAGGCCTCCCAAAGCCATCACAAATGCCACGACCCTTCAATACAACAATCCATCTAATGCCTGGACATAAGCTAAATTAATTGCTCTATATTCTCAGTGGATGCCCTCTAGGACTTGTGTCCCCTCTATCGGTTGACGCTTCTTCGTTATGTTATTATGTTAGAATGCGTGGTGGAAAGGTCGTAGCAACCCTTCTTGTGCAACCTAATTAGTCGTGATAGATGCATAACAACCCATCGAGTTCCACAATTTATTTTGGTCATACCTAAAATGACTAGTCAAAATATCTTCATGTTTAAATGGAGCAGTGTTTATCATCTTTGTCAGCCCTAAACCAGGAGTAAAAACGCCACATATCCATGGCAGAGGTCAGTTCAGCCCCTGTTGACTTTGAGCCAACTGTTCTCATCAACGCTGAAGGTATGATAAGTCGAGTTTGTTCCTGATACAAGTGTAGTGACATAGAATCGGTCACTTAGCAGCAAAGCGCTGGTTGCTGGTAGGGAAGGCATCTGCAGCTACAACAGCCCTGACTGACAGCAGGTCACGTGATAGACCAGACAGAGGGAATGTAGGGGAAAGGTTACAGAAGGGGCAGATCGAGAACCCGCTGGTAGGTTCCAGAAGGGGGGCGTGGCCGGGGGCGGAGCCAGGCCACGCTGGCAGTATAAGAGGGGCTCCGGCAGGGGACCTCGGGGCTGTCGTGTGGAGTGGGGTCACCGTCGTCTCCGTCTTCACCATCTCGGCGTCGTGAGTCAGGCAGTCTGCCAGCTGTCCTGACTGGGAACCGTAGTTGCTAAGTGTGAACTGTCAAGGCCGTTTTAATAAACAGAGTGCCTCCTACTCGCAGTGTCTCTGAGTCAGTCACGACACATGCTAGTGGTTAGAAATAAAATACAAAGCAGACATATTCTTTGGGTCTTTCGGTAAAGTCACGTCGATAGGTTAAAAAAGAATAACAAAAAATACGACCGCTTGTGTTGCGATCGAAACGTCGTAGTTTTTGTTATTTTCTTTGAACCTATCTACGTGACTTTACCGAAAGACCCAAATAATATGAATTCCTGCAGTCACGAGAGCTTTAAGTCACAAAGCAGACAGTACTGCATCCTAAATTGAATTAGATTATTCTTGCAGTGCAAATGTGAAAATATATATAAATAATTAGGCTATTGTGGGGGGGGGGGGGGGGGGGGGCACAGGAATTGACTCCGTCAGGTTCATAGTGCAATGAGCATAATCACTACACCATCCCTGCATCCAATAAAGTGATCATATTTCACTTTATTTCCCCAAGAAGATCTGATTGAGTCCCAAGACTCAGGAGGGATACGCATTGGTTGTTTTGCCAATTCCATGAGCATTTCGGCATGCGAAAGAAGTTTAACATAAATACATACACGTGGGAGGAAACCAAAGCACTCAGGGTAAGGCCGCTACATATACCGTAAAAGGTAGACTGCTGTTCAGTTTGTAAATCTCCCAAGATGAAATGTTTCTATTGCACTGTTCACAGCAGCAAGGATATATTTCAGGGTGGAAGATAGGCAAAAAAACACTTGAGTGCTGCATTGTAAATGGTGGGAGGGCATTAAGGTTCACATATGGAGATAAAAGTGGCTTTCAGATATCACGTAGGTTTAGTCATATTTGTGGTGAGAATCACTAACGTGGTGCAGATGGGCAGGCCTGGCTAGTTTCAGCACAGCACAGAAACACAGTACTGCACCTTTCTCCAAGTTGAGTTTGCATGAACACACACTAATTATGGTCAGAAAACTTTACAAAAAAGTTATTTACACTAAATATGTAAACGTTGCTTTTTAGCAAAAGCATCGATGTAACGCAGGCTGCCATGCAATTGTGTAGTTAGATGCTTACAAAACTTAATTGTATAATTTTCAAGTCTTTGTAAACATATACCCCTCTGGCCTCACTCTTGGAATGGCAACAGAAACCTGCAATAAACATTAACTCCTAAATCATGTGCTTTGTAGTGATATCCAACATTTGCCCATAAACATTAAATCAAGTCAAATATCAAAGTGTTGCCATGCTCAAACGAGTGTGCGATGGTGCTCTTTTCCATTGGCAGTCCTGGGCCTCTGATTTAAAAAATTAACTTTCCTATGGTGGTGGCCAGTCTCTCCATAGGGCTTCCACTCTTGAGTTCCTATACATTTGTTCGGTTTGCTTACCCCACAGTAAGTTGCCTATGCAATAGTATCCCTTGTAACACCTTGCATGCCCTCTGCCTCAGCTACACAATGTACACTTGCCTTCATGCCACCTCATTTCCCAGTCATCATGCCAACAAACCCTCCTTTTGTACTTGTTAACTTGACGTTCACAATTCTAAGTCCTATTTCATGATTGATAAGAAAGAAAAAAACACAACACTAGAAATTGGTCAAATATGACAACTAGTCAGGTGATGCCTTTTTCGTGATGTGAAGTTACGCAGGCGTTTGCCAGGGAAGGGAACTCGTTGATGTGCCTGCTTCTGACGGCCGCAGCAGTGCTTGGAAATGACTCCTGACAAAAGGTGAACAGTGTACACACTGATTAGGCAATCAAAGCCGCTCTCTGATCACCTCTTTGTGCACAAGTCCAGGCCTTGCGTTCCTGATAAGTCTGGATCCTCTTATGCCTCCGTGAAAAAGGTAATGGTGCAGCCCTGAAAATGCTTGCTCATGCCACTGCTGGCAGAAGGGCCTACGCTAGAGCTCTTCAGAGTCCTTCTCGAGGATATTTTGCTCTACTCTTCTAAGCTGCTATTATATTTATTTATGCTGTCTTTGGAACAGTGACATTGCCCAGCGATAGCACGTTCACTGCACTTCGCTTGGTGTAGTATTAATCGCAAAGATATGTGCCATTTGCTTTACAGTGGACGTTAAAGATGCTGTAATTAATTTTGAAGAGAGGAGGCCATTGTATGTCGACATCACAGTCCAAATTTGAAAAACGAATCCTACAAATGACTCAATTTGGATTACACACTGTAAAATCACCCCTTAATGTGAAAATATTTTAAACTATGTCTGTGAAACAATGCTTTCGTCATAGTATTGTGATATGAATGCCACAAATACCGACCTTACTAAATAATTATTATGCTGTGTTGTACGAGTTGTTGGTATCTGTGAAATAATTTCCACACCCACACAAAACAATAGCACCCACAGGAGCTCCAGAGTAAACTCCAGCCAACATTTTCTTCTCCCTCACCAGCCCACAAACCCACGCCTTTAGCTTGCCACAAATGGCAGCATGACACCGAGGACCTCGCCAGCCTCGGATCAGTACCTTCCCTCTGTGGTGAGCGCTGCCCGAGGCGGGGGTGGCAGGCTTACTGTGGTTGGATTGTTAAATATGGATAACGTAGCTACATTATACGTTTGTATTCTCTGCTCAAAAGCAATGTATTCTGTCTATTTTCATTTGTATACAAAGCAATGCCAAAAGGTTGCCCATTGGTTCTCCAGAAACGGCACTTCAAATGGGCAAGTTTCTTAAATCTCCCCATGTCTATCTACACAGTAATATAAATGAGTACACCAAATCACGACGTTTCGGAGGCAACACAAGAAGCTTCCGTCATCAGGTGGCAACAGTCACAGTAAAATTATTGTGGTGAGTAGAGAGAGCTATTTGTGACATGAGATTATATAGGGGAAGAAGGGGGGGGGGGGAGCTGTGACTGTTGCCACCTGATGACGGAAGCGTGTGGTGCCTCCGAAACGTCGTGATTTGATTAACTTTATTTTTACCTACGTGACTTTCCTGAAAGAACCAAGGAGTATGGATCATTGCAGTCACGAAAACGTCAAATCTAGAATAAATGAGTACACCAAAAATATAGTTGATCAGCAGGTTGCACTTGGTGAAAAAAACTGGCCAAATATTGTATATAGGGTCTCTCTCGACAGTATTTGGTTCATATTGTGGTGCGCTACTAACCACTGCGCCACCAGGCCCCCACCGTGGCTTACTCGTTCAAGCACCCACGTAATTATAGGTCACTGGTTTCCAAGTGCAGTGTGCGAACCACTGTGCCATGGCTCCCCTAACACAAAGATGCATATCGGACAGAAAAAAAACCCTCACATTCGTCAATAACAATGTCTTAGTAAGTCATAGGTAACGTTTCGGTAATGGTCCTTCGTAGCACATCTGGCAGTGTTATTTGACAAATGTGTTGAATGTTTGTATGTATGCTGTACCTTCTTTTCGCACCGTACATAGCCAATCGTGAAAATCTATATTGACTAAAACGTGGCGCGAAATTAGCCAACTGTGGTGTTTGCGCACCACTGGTAATGCAGCCTCATCATATCGTTTGTCTAATATATTTCATGTGAAAGGTGCTTTAAAAACACGGTGAGAATGCAAGTTGTTTTCGACGGTCGTCCACTGCGTCAGAAAGCTTGGCTTCTTAACCAATACACTTATTTGACATTAAACAGGCGAGACTGCCAAACTAATCTTCGGGACAATCCGCTTCCTTTCTGTAATACCATTAAGGGCTAAATTTGGAAAGATTATATCAGCATAGAAGTAAACAGGAGGGGTCAGTAGAGTCATCATACGGGCGCTGCAGGTGGTGTCTGCTGGCATCGAGGCACAAGCACAGCCTGAGAGCCATGGGGAACACCAAGAGCACCGCCCTGTCGCGCGAGATCTTGGAGGACATCAAGCTAAACACCAAATTCTCGGAGGACGAGCTCACCGAGTGGTACAGCTCCTTCATGCGGGACTGCCCCGACGGACGCATCTCGCGAGAGCGCTTCGAGAAGATCTACGCGCGCTTCTTCCCGAACGCCGACCCCAAGGTGTACGCCCAGCACGTGTTCCGCTCCTTCGACAAGAACAGCGACGGCACGCTCGACTTCAAGGAGTACATCATTGCGCTGCACCTCACGTCGTCCGGCAAGACGCAGCTCAAGCTCGAGTGGGCCTTTTCCCTCTACGACGTCGATGGCAATGGCACCATCAACAAGTCTGAGATCCTGGAGATTGTCAAGGTAAAGTGATAATCGAGCTCGGTGTGCGTTCTTGAGTATGGCGCCACGGTGGAGAGATGTTAACTACCTCGCCTGGTATACAGGAGGTCTTGGGTTCCATCCCGACCATGACGCCTGTATATTAGGAGATTGTATGTTCTCCCTGTGTTCGTATGGATTTTTCTTCAAGTCCTCCATTTATTTCCTCCACATTTAGAAACATGCGTTTAGGGTATTTAGTCGCTGCTGTAAATTTCCACGTGATAAGCCACTTCGTTGAGCTATCATTTGTGGCCAGGTCACTTCTGAAAGAGAGCTATATAGCACAGTGGGCCTTACCAAGTAAAATAAAAAATAGTTTTATCGTTTTATTTTATTGTTGCCAAAATCGTCAAACTTAAACCCAATATTTGTTGTGATACTACATTGGTGAAGCAGAGCCAGTGGTGTCAATGCCATATTTACATGACCGGAATCAGGTTTTTCAACAATTTCTGATTTCTCACAAAGTTGTATTCATCTTAATCAGTCCCAGAATGATGGCGGGTGGAGCTTTATATAATGTTTTAGATTACACAATACAAACATTCTAACAGGGAAAATATATTTTTTGCAAACTATAGATGAATGATGTTACTAAAGCTTGTAATTCAATGAGAATTGTATTCAGATACATTTGATTATTGGGCACTCGCAACATACTAACCGAACTTAAAAGTAAAAAAGAAAATCAATGGTCCAGCTTTTCATCCAAAATAGTAAGTATTTTTTTTAACGAATTCAATATTTGAGTAAATATAGAATTTATTTGAAGTGAGATGCTGGGACCTGAATTTAAATGTCATGCTTTGTTAAAATTCCATGGTCAATGTAGGTATCATTAATTGATTTAATTCAACAGGAAGGCCCAATGAGCAGTTCTATTTAATGGGCGTCCTGCGACGATACAGGACGTCCATGGATTATCGACTATCAAAATGGCTCAATAATTGTGAATGTTTTTATTTCTCTTTGAAATACGTTGTTAAAAAAAAATACAGTTATCTCACCTTAACTAGGTTTACCAAGGGGCAGTGAAACATATATTAATGTTCCCGGCCTTGCCGGGGGGGTCTTGATGAGTAATAACCATTGTGTCATATTGGACGCGGTTCATTCAACACAGATTTCTCGCTCGCGTCTCCTGCGTCTTTGGTGAAAAGTGCCATTGCTGATGACATTTGCAGGCGATCTTCAAGATGATTCCTCCCGAAGAAGTGCATTTGTTGAAGGATGATGAAAACACACCTGAGAAGCGCGCCGACAAAATCTGGAAACATTTTGGGAAAACTGACAAAGGTAGTAATTCATCAACACATCTTGTACTCTGCAATTTACAATCATTCCACCCGTTACCCTGTTTATATTGGTAAGTCCACCCTGTGTCCTATCTGTTTTATACAATCATCTCACTCAGTACCCTATTCAACCCATACAATCACGCGGTAATGCGGTAAGGTGTGCCGTTTTTGTTTTCTCTGTGTTCTGACATCATACCTTTATGGGAAATGTTTTGCACTCCTCCCTAAAACAAATAAATAAAAGTGAACAGCAAAACATGACGTGTAACATGGATAACTTAAAACAAAATAGCTGCCTAATTTCACTGCATGTACTTTATTTTCATCCTGTGTGACTACAGATAAGCTGACAGAAGGTGAATTTGTGCAGGGCCTCAAGGACAAGGATGAGATCATGCGTCTGATTCAGTATGAGCCACCAAAGAAGTAATGTTGGTCACCTCTTCTGCTTGGGGCTAATGTTGGGCTTCTGTGGATGAGAATTTTGTTAATATCTCGTGAGTGTGTTCAACCGCATCGCCCTTGGAAACGAATCAAAAAGGATAAAGTAAAAAATATGAAGCACACATAGTTGTCTCTTTGTTTTTTCGTTTTACAGCACTCTTCACAGAGTGCCTAAAATGTATTTAAAGGTAACTGCAGTAATTATATACACACACAAGTGACTTTGTATGATGCTGTGAGCGTATTTCTTACGATAAAAAAGTGTGACTTCATTGCACTGCAGTGGCAGCTGGTGTGTATGCAATTTTGGGGGTAGCAAGCCACCTAGAAATAACCTATATGTTTTAAAATAAAACATTAAAACAGTTGTGAAACCATTTAAACGTTTTAATATAGTTAAAGCTCGTGGGTAATTTAAACCATTGCTTACGGGTTTTGCACATTGATTAAAATTGAATCAAACTAATGTTTTTTTAAGTATGAAGTGCTTGGTTTGTCTGCCCCAGTGAGATGCACATTTCAGAATCTCATTGGCCGAATTTAAAGCACTCCCACAAAGTGCCACCCTTTGAAGAAAATTAAGCAGAAAGTGTGCCAATATTTACACCCCTGGCCATTAACAAGCCACCGTCCGAAGGTCATTTGGATGGGGATTGTCACCCCTTGGCCACCGCGGCACTGGCATCACCCCACTAAAAACGTGACCCACCAGCTGCCACTTTGCACTAAATATGCTGCATCTGTAAAATGATATGGCATAAAAGGGTGACAGTAAAACACGAATCTCCCATTATATTTAATCGTATTTTCATTAAATCTGCAGCATTAGGACTTTTGCCTGGAAGCTTCTGCTCCCTTTGATGCTGCTTGTGATGTAGGATTGATTTTACAAAATCAGAGGGTTATCAAAAAGTCTGTGGCTAGACATAGATAGCAGTTAATGGCTGACCCTGATGAAACTGTGCAATTAATTTGGCCCGTCGATGTGAAATTCCATCCATAAGATACATTTTGGCTTGCTCATCAAACCTAAATTAATTATTGGTGCATGTTGGGTAATTCATTCATTTATATCCAGCAAAATCAATGGCAGTCACGGCAACTAATGACTTAAGAATTGAGAACTTTAAACACTAGAAACACATTTTTTCTATTAAATCTAATCATCCCGAATTTCCTTTTAACTGAACATTCACACGTTACCATCGACGACAAATATCTATGTGAAGCCTCAACTTTTAAAATAAAAACATTTTGGGACTCCACTTTCATCACTGGTTTATGGATAAATTGTTGATATCAAAATAAAGCCAACCAGGATATTTAGTTTAAGCGATTATTATCACCAGCCATGATTTATCTACTGCTGGATGAAGCTCACCCAAGCTTGCACCATTGCTCATAGTATTGCAATGCTCCATCCATCTAACACTTGCACGTGAGTTGATTTCATCGCTCCATCTCTAGGGTGGACGTACAATTGGGCATGTTCCCCCGTCTCGTTCCCACCCTCTCGTTTGTCTCGACCATCAGCCATCATCTCTTTGAGGTGATGTGTCCTGCTCAAGCCCACTTGTTTCTGCTCCAAATCTTTTGCAAAGGTGTTTAGTTTCACTATAATGCACCTACAGTAGCTGTGGGGGAAAATATTATTGAAAGTAATTCAACCGTCCAGCAACTACTGTATACTCTTTGTTTTTTTCGGCAAAGTCACATAGGTAGAAAATAATAGATCACGACGTTTCGATCGCAACACAAGCAGCCGTCATCAGGTGAGACCAACACAGCAGGGGAAATGCTGACGAAGGAGAAAGAGCTGCTGCAACAAGAGGTTATATAAGGTAGGAGGAAAGCTGCTGATGCAGGCTGCTTCTAAAGGGTAGAAATGGGCGTAACTAAAACGACTGCTGCGCGTGCGACAAAGGGGAGATCGGAGGCAGGAGGATAGAGAGGGGGTGGGGCATAGATAAGAAATGGGGGGGGGAGCGTGAGACAAGTTTCATGTATTAGGTAGAGCCCTGTGAGCCATGCGGCTCTTAAGTCGGGTGCAACCGCAACAAACACAATTTGAACACAGAACATCCCAAAGCGACGACGTGCAACAGAAACATCCTGGAATAAACCAGCAAATACTCCACACAAAAAAAAACGTATTAAAACGCTGTGTGCAAAAATTACAATGTGGTGCAAGCCAAAAACAACAACAACCATAAGACAATTTAGATTAACGAGGGGGGATAGACGAGGGGGGGATCTGCGGAGGAGGGAGAGAGAGGGCTTGGGACATAGATAATCGGTGGCAGGGGGAGAGAGAGAAGCTGTGTTAGTGAATGTGGCTCAGAGAGTCGAGAATAGCTGCTAACATCGGCGGGCAGTATGTGTGATCTGCTGTATGTGTGTTTTAATTAAAAATAAATATTGAGTTTGCGAGAAAATTGACTTGTAGTTTTTTTATTTATTAATAATAATATGTTGTACATGTACTGCACTTACATCAACAGTACGGGTTAAACAATGCGTCATTTTATCGACATTTTTTAAAAATATTATTGATTCGTATACGTTGTAAATAACAAGCTTACATGACCCCTGCAGCCAGTAGATGTGTTATAATGCACCTCAACAACAACAACAAAACTATAGATATATTTTTCTTATTGTCTTGATCCCGACTCATAAATCATTGAGTTATGAGAAGTACAAATCGTTACAGGTTTAATTAAAAACACACATTTCTTGGTGATGCTCTAATCAATACAATTACGCAAATTGGATTACTGTGGCATCCTGAATGTGGCAGCATCTCAGGATTCTGTACAGAAACAGGTAGTCGGTGATAGATTAAACACAAATACGTCTTGAGTCTGGAATTGAAGAGGGGCAGGAAATGAACATCACAGATTGCTGGTGGAAGGAAGTTCTGGGCAATGGGGGCAGCAGAGTCGAATGAGTGATCTCCCACTGAGTGAGGGTTCGCTGGGGGCTGGGACACCAAGCTTCGGCTGCAGGAGTGGCGAGTGCATGGAGGATGGTCATTTCCATTTTGTGCAGCCATTGACGATTAAACTGAGTTCCCAATTGTCATAAGCTGATGATCTCACACTGGTCACCAATAACTGCACAACAAAAACCAATAAAACATGTTTTTTTTTCACTCAATACGGTTTGTTCATCTCTGAAAATGAAACAAAAATAGGTTGACAATAGAAACCCATTCTTTGCAGGAATATAATAATTATATTATCGTGATTATTATTGTCATTACGCTTGTTTATGCAAGAAAGCCTTACTGAGTCTGAAGACATTTTTGGAAGGGTCCTACCACATTCATTTTATCAGAAGGGGCAATGTTGCTTCATGTCATCCCAATTGAGTACAGTAATTTGTTTGGTAAAATTTCAGCATTGGGATGTTTGGCCCAAACAGTGGACCAGTGAGGCTGTGGAAGATTTGCGGGCGTGCTTAGACTGTACTGACTGGGATATGTTCACGACTGCTACCAATAGTCTGGATGAACTCACAGAGGCTGTGACGTCCTACATCAGCTTCTGTGAGGACTGCTGTATCCCAACACGTACCAGGGTGAACTTTAACAACAATAAGACCTGGTTCTCAGCAAAGCTCAGATGGTTGAGGTTGGAGAAGGAGGAAACGTTTAGGAGTGGAGATAGAGACAGATTCAAGGAGTCGAAGAACAGGTTTAGCAAAGCGGTGAGAGAGGCTAAACGACTGTACTCAGAGAGACTAAAACACCAGTTCTCTACAAACGACGCTGCTTCTGTCTGGAGAGGGCTCAGGCAGATCACCAACTACAAACCCAGAGCCCCCCACACCACTAACGACTCCCGCCTAGCCAACGACCTGAACGAGTTCTACTGTAGATTTGAAAGACAATTGAACTGTCCTGAACCACCCCTTCCAACCCAAGAGGCCCCATCCCCCACCAATACTACAGAGACGACTATCTCCTTTCAGGAGGGAGAAGTTAATATACTTTTCAAGAGGCAGAATCCACGCAAAGCAGCCGGGCCGGACTCTGTCTCTCCAGCCACCCTCAGGCACTGCGCTGACCAGCTGTCTCCGGTGTTCACCAACATCTTTAACACCTCCCTGGAGACATGCCATGTACCAGCCTGTCTCCACTCCTCCACCATCATCCCTGTGCCCAAAAAGCTAAGGCCAACAGGACTAAATGATTACAGACCGGTCGCCCTTACATCTGTGGTAATGAAGTCTTTTGAGCGCCTGGTCCTGGCACACCTCAAAGCCATCACAGACCCTCTCCTGGACCCCCTTTAGTTTGCCTACAGAGCCAACAGGTCTGTGGACGATGCAGTTAACATGGCCCTCCACTTCACCCTACAGCATCTGGACGCCCCAGCATCCTACGCCAGGATCCTGTTTGTGGACTTCAGCTCTGCCTTCAACACCATCATCCCTGCCCTGCTTCAGGACAAGCTCTTCCAGCTGAACGTGCCATACACCACCTGTAAATGGATCACAGACTTCCTGTCTGACAGGAAGCAGTGCGTTAAGCTGGGAACACAAGTCTCTGACTCCAGGTCCATCAGCACCGGAACTCCTCAGGGCTGCGTCCTTTCCCCTCTGCTCTTCTCCCTGTATACCAACAGCTGCACCTCCAATCATCTGTCCGTCAAACTATTGAAGTTTGCGGATGACACCACCCTCATTGGGCTGATCTCTGGTGGGGATGAGTCTGACTATAGGTGGGAAGCTGACAATCTGGTGACCTGGTGTAGCCAGAACAACTTAGAGCTAAATGCTCTAAAGACAGTTGAGATGGTTGTGGACTTCAGGAAGAATACAGCACCACTCACCCCCATCACCCTGTTAGACTCCCCAGTCAAAATTGTAGAGTCCTTCCGCTTCCTGGGCACTATTCTCTCCCGGGACCTCAAGTGGGAATTGAACATCAGCTCCCTCACCAAGAAAGCTCAACAGAGGATGTACTTTCTACGGCAGCTGAAGAAATTCAACCTGCCAAAGACAATGATGGTGCAATTCTATACAGCGATCATTGAATCCATCCTCACCTCCTCCATAACCGTCTGGTACGCTGCTGCCACTGCCAAGGACAAGAGCAGACTGCAGCGTATCATCCACACTGCTGAGAAGGTAATTGCCTGCAATCTACCAACCCTCGAGGACCTGCACACGACAAGGTCCATGAGGCGAGCGAGGAAGATTATGGCCGATTTCTCCCACCCTGGACACTCTCTGTTTCAGCTACTCCCCTCCGGCAGAAGGCTTCGGTCCATCAGGACCAAAACCTCACGCCATAAAAACAGTTTCTTCCCATCTGCTGCTGGCCTGTTAAACAAGGCCAAGGGCTAACACTGTTTTTAACATTTGATCTACATAACGACACCTTGCCGATATTAACTGTTACCCTATTTGTATTTTTTATTTTTAAATTATATCTTAAAGCTATTTTATATTCGATATTTATTTAATTTTATATACTTCAGCCCCTTGGTGTTAGACTTTTAACCCTTATTATAGTAAGACTTGTTTAAAACTTATTTAAGATTTTAGATTCCTATATGTTGAATGTATGCACCATCCTGCCAAAGTAAATTCCGTGTCGGTGTGAACTTACATGGCGAATAAAACCCTTTCTGATTCTGATTCTATACCAGTTACGCTGTAAGTTTTTTTTTAGCCATGTGAAGAAACCAGAAAACCAGAGGAAAGCCATCCAGAACAGGGGGAAAGCACAAAAACGCCAATTTCAAGGGCACCTCAAGTTGGGAATCGAGCCCAAGTGCTTGTAGCTGCGAGGCTAAAGCATTACCACTGGACCTCCCTGCTGCCCGTTGTTGTGGATAGAGAAGCGTATTGCAGCGACTACATAAATGGTTCTGTAGCAACATGTTATTAGGCTATAATCTGACACAGGGTGGCGAGTGCACTATTCATGCAAGAGTTGTCAATATACATCTCTTTCGATTTAAAGCTTTCGTGACTGCAAGGATTCATCTTCTTTGGTTCTTTCGGTAAAGTCACGTAGAATGAGAATAAAATAATAAATTGATAAAATAAAATAACGAAACGTGAGAATATTATTGCGTTATTTTATTTTATCAATTTATTATTTTATTCTCATTCTACGTGACTTTGCCGAAAGAACCAAAGAAGATACATCTCTTTATTTCATCATATGAAGCCAATAGCACAATCGCAAAATATGTTGGATTATTTTTACAATGCCATGTTTTCAGTACAGAACTAACCTCAACACATTTTGATAATGAATACTGAGATAGGGATATAAAAAAACGTAACTCTTTTACCATCACAATTATTAAGTATCGCATCACAATCAAAAAAACTATGTTATTCATATAACCTCTGCCACAGTCTCCCTTGAAAGATACAATTTCAATGGTCCAATAGGTATGGGAACGCAATGAGCAATCAGAGCTGCTTCACCCAAAATGTTGTACATGGAGGCAAACCGTTCCAAGAAAAAAACTTTCTTTGGCACCTTGGTTATTTGACATTTGCTGGCAATGATTTCGTGCTCCTTCGCCTTGGCGGTCCCTCTCAATCTCACAAAAGTCTCATAGTTGAAGAAACTCAAGCCGAGGCATCACATGGAATCTGCAAAGCACATTGCTCATTACGTAGATTAAATTAACCTTAGTAATCTGTTCGGATGCAGGGTCACATGCTGGCCACAACACTGAATGGGCCTTCATTGATTGCTTGCAAGACCAACTTTACACGAACGTGTTTCCCGGATCATAATTTGTACATGTATATTTACCATATATAATAAAAGGAAGTATTTTGAAACTGTATCCATTTTAGTATTCCTTCATGTTTTGTGTTAATATTAAAAGGGATATTTAAATGAATGAGGTAACATGACTTAGTCAAGGGTATGGGTCTGATGCTACGTATGGTGCAAAAGAAGTTCAACATACACACATGTGTTGGTGTAAATGGAA